ACGATGATATCACTATGATCACCATAAGTTCAAACTCAATAAGTGTCAGAACAAGAAAAGTATCATACAAAGGAAACAATTTTGGTTATTCCTATTTTATTCAACTCATGTCACAAATTGTTTGTTTGCGTAGCTGAAAAAACCGATCAAGATAAACAACAAAGTCCAGTTTCTTTAGCAAGTAAAGATTATATTAACGGCGATAAACGCGGTATCGTAAGTGGATGGGGAAAAACCAAAATAATTGGACCGATCACTCGCCAATACTTAAATGGGTTAGGGTGAACACGTCTTGAGCCAATCGCGCTGCCTGAGTGATTACATCATAAATCCACGCACTAATGAAAATCAGATATATTGTTGGAAAGAGTTGGGAAGGGTGCTTGTCAAGTAAGTTACTTTTATACTTACTTTTTGTCTTATGCATGTAATGCATAATGCATCTCGCGAACATTAAGTATGCATACAGTTTTTACAAAGAAACATTAGTAAATACATCAGCGTTTTTAAAGACAAAATTTTCTAATTATTTCACACTGTTTCATTTACTGCTATAAATTGTCAATTAAAAATTCGTTGTCACACTTTTTCTAGGGTGATGATGGTGGACCTCTCATTGTCAATAATGAGCTCGTTGGAGTTGTCTCTTGGGTTTTAGAAAAGTCTGATGTTTATATAAATTACAAAGTATTACAAATATTTTGATTTTTTATCAAAGAATTTCAATTAATATGCTGATAATCTGTGTTTAAGACATTATCTAATTTTGTACGTAATAAAATTCTCTAATTTTTTAAGTAAAATAACATTCTATAATAATAACGAATAAACTTTACAGTCCAATGGAATACTATAAAAGCCTCTTCATTTAATGAATAGTGAAATAATGAAAATCTAATATTAAAACAGTTTCTGTATAAAATACTTAAAATATGAATTTTATTTCTGAATTTGCAATGTTATAACATAATATATTCCTTTGCACACATGAGTGAAATATTGAGAGTTATCACATTATTAACATTTTTGTAAGAAACATGTAGCTCTAAATAAGAGAGAAGGTGTACTTAACAAACTTTATGTATATTTTTCTCAGCAGTTTTTTCTCAACAAATTATTCAAGTATTCTTTATCTCTTACAAAACCAGTTGTCTAATATGACTCACTTGATATATATCACTATGTGATTATTAATTTATGATTAATATCCTCACAACTCACACTATAAAAATCGCCTATTATATGGTGCTGCCCAGATCCTCAGAACAAAACTCAGCTGTCGTTCCAGTGGACATGTGACAGCCGCGATAATAGCAGTTTCTTAATCTGATAGGATGCCACGCAGGTCACTGCAACCCTCGCAGCGGTACACTCATTTCCAACGAGATGCCGACGGGTTGCCGAAGCTGATAAAATATCAGTCGTCCATCGGGCTGTGTTTGCCGATATTTTATCCGTTTAATTGTTTTTCGATAGTCGAGAGTCGGTCCGGCGCTTTTTGCGCATGGGGTGGTCAGCGAGACGCGAGGGGAGGAGGAGGTGGATTCGGATTATTCGTTACAATGAAATTGAATCGCGCGTTAACCGTAGCAAGATGGTAAACAGCTTTTATTGGCAGAATAATTTTTTGCCCGCGTTATACCGGAAATTAGCTGTCGCCGCGCAATCTCGTGTCAATGCCTCGTGTAAACGCCACGACGCGACGTAGATAGACCGATATCGCCGAAAAAGAAAGACGCGAGTCCGCCATTTACGTTGTCCTTGTTCCTTCCGTGATAGTTTATCTTTGTCACGAAAATCCGTTTATACATGTGCGAGTTGGTAGTGACGTGATGCTCCTGCGCGCGCTTATAGGACACTATAAATGCAGGCGATAAAAACGCAAAATAGCGTAAAATATTGCTTCTACATCAGAGCGAATATGTTGAAACTTTAACTGTAAACTAGTAACTGGCTTAAAGTAACTAAAAAAAAAAAAAATGCTGTTTAATAATTCTCACATTATGTAAAATATTTTATGAATTGACATTGTTGGAATAGACGGAATTTAATAAAACTTTGCGGTCTTTGAAAAGTACATCAAACTGTTTCATACGCGAATATATATTGATATTAAAAAGTGGTATTTGCACGGTATTATTGGAATGAAAGAGTTAACACCCATTGATTAAAATTCATTTTCGCGTATAAAACGTGTCCAAATTCCAGCGTCATTCATATAACATTATCCATATCTGTGCAATATCGTATACGTGGTACACTCGAAAGAGGGGGGAAAAAAATAACGATGAGCATTGGATATTCGCCTCCCATGCTGGTTTCCCCCCTCCCCCCAAGATACGCTTATCAAACGCTATTTCTCTTCTTCGCCAATTTCGGGTTCCGTCGATCCACCCGGCTGCTGCCCCGTTGTCCCCGTTTATTCGATTTCGGAAATTTGCGTGCTGTCTCGTTTTGACGCGTTTCGCCGGCGCAATCGCGGCATCGGCGGCGAATTGCGCGACAGCTCGCCGACCCGACGGCCCGGCGTTCGTTAATTGTCGTGGCGGCGAAGTTGGAAACAGCGGGTACACGTAGTAGATGGCCGGGGCTTACCTCGCGCGTATCGCGTTTAACTATGTTGCAATTTTCTCTCTCTCTCTCTCTCTCTCTCTGCCCAATTCACTCTGTTACTCCGGCGCGAAATGTCGCACACGTGCGCCGGGAAAGAAAAACTGCGGGACAATGCACGAATTCACTGTGCCCTCGAATGCCCGGAAGTCGCTCAATGGCCGCTCGGTGATTGCGATTCCGCGTTTCGACCGCGTCCATTAAAAGTAACGGTATATAGCAATCGCCTATTTTTTTAAATTTAGTAACGATTACGTATAAATGATTGAAAATGAATAAAAAAGACTGCTCTCCTTTATAAGCAGTTGTTTTTTCACCATTTAAGAAATTGCTATTTTTAGAACGAATGTGTAATGCATAAAGCGAGCGTATTGATGAGCGATATAAATGTAGAGAAGAGAGCATTCCCCCTATTTTATTTCCTAAACAAAATGCTTGATATAACTCTTTCGTATTACTCGTATAAATTGCTACATTATGTTTCGCGCGGAGCGGCAAATTAATGTTTAAATATTTCAGTGTAGCACTGTGCTTGCCGTTTCATTTTAATTTCCCTGAATTTATTTCGCGATATTCCATTAAAATCGCAATTTGCTCCGTGCAATTAGTCCATTAGTGCCATTAAAGAAATTAAGAGTGAGCGGCGGCTACGTTATGAATGTCTCCGCAATTTCGTTAATTTTGTTACAACGCGTTTCGAAGCAGCCGAGTATGATAAATAAAAGATGCTTGCCATGCATGTTTTCGCGTTAACAGTTATACGTGTGTGCGGGCACCCATTTTTCCGTCTAGTATTTTCCACGCATAAAATACACGCGACATACAACGTACGCAGCAGAGAAACCGTTACCATGTGAACCGCGTACCAATTAAAATCAACCGTTTTCGTATCTAATTAAAAAGGCGCGTGTATTCATTAAAAACGAAAATATATAAATATTTCTGTATAAAGGGTGTGCCATTTTAAATGCCCCACGCAAATATCTCGAAAAATATAAGAGATACGGAAAAATGTTTTGGACAAAAGTTGAAGGATATCAAAGGGGACAAATGATAAAACTAATTTAAAAAAAATCGATTTTTTCGAAGATTGGTTTTACTATTATTTTTCCTTCTTGATATCCTACAACTTTTGCCTGAAACGTTTTTCCGTATTTTCCATACGCAGAACAAAAATAAGTGTCAAATCAACAATGCTATACTCATATAGGTATATACGCAAGAATATATAATCTTCTTATAAGAATTTCAATTTGTTTCAACTTGTTTTTCTCGATTAAACTAGATAAAACAATTCGTTTAACACTATAAATGACTTCATTCAAGCAAGTTTTCTTCGTTTAACGCAATATATAATCTCATTTCAAGATTATATACATCCAAGTATATCAATTGATTTGATACTTCTTTTTTTCTGTGTATTTTTCGAGATATTTGTCTGAGGCGTTTAAAATGGCACACCCTGTATATTATGTAAATGCTATGCGCAGAGTTGTGTATAGTAGGTACACGTTAATCCAGACATAAAAATGATGAAAATTGGATTAAACATGCAAGATACATTACAATACACAATTGAAATTATTTTTTCAATTTCGAGCAAAAAGAATAATACTTTTGTTAAAAATATTACTCATATGTATATATATTTTTTCTTTTCAATATTTGCTCTTTTTATGTAAAAAATAGATTTTAAACTGTTTTTTTTAGCTTTGATTTCTCTCTTCTAAGTAGTAAAAAATTTACATTAATTTTCCATGCAGTTTTACTAAAAACTGGAACTACTAATAATATTAACTACTAACGGAATGGAGATGATATATGAAATTTCCATAACATACAATATTATGGATATAAGTCCTGTTTGTTATGTGTAAAGAAAAATGTATACGCATTTGTTTGACGAAAATTATCGAACAGGAGGAGCGAAATACAGAAGTCTAGAAGTGGTTTTTTTATATCATCATTACATTTATTGAAACAGTATTCACGTCGATGAATATTTTTACAATATAGTAATCTATATCGCTTTTCCGCTTTTTAATCTTGTCCTTTTGATTCATGCTTAAGTTCTCTTATAACATGATACATAAAATTGATTATGAATTTTATGTACAATGGAGTCTAGTCTCTTACCTATGTATAATGTGCAACATTCCGTACGTATGCGAATCGCGGATATTTGATTATCTAATTCACAAATAGGTATACTTCTCTCGATATTTTTCTGTTTGATCACCTTTCATGTGTGCACAGAAGTGTATTTTTAGATCTTATAATTGAGCCACGTTCGCGTTATGGAAAATCACGGGTGCGCGGGATCTCTATCGGAAACCGCCAAAACGCGGAGCATCGCGAATGTAAGCTTTTTTTTATCGAATTGAGTTTGATTAAATATTATACTTTGATTCGACACACACCAGTAGCTCGATGGAAGTGATTCTTCAATTAAAAAAATTTATTTTTTACTTTGCACTTTGATCACTTTTTATGTAATTACGCCAGCCTCTCTCTCTCTCTCTCTCTCTCTCTCTCTCTCTCTCGCATTCTCCCTCTCGTTCTCTGAATCATTATGTGATTCACAATTTTTGTCCGAAATGTATATATGACTCGATTAGCATGTTAACGTAAATCATAATGTGAAAAATTATATACAAATTGATAGTACTGCGATATTTCCCCTCTGATTCTGAATGAAAATTTCGAAATGCTTCACAATTTTCAACAGGGGGTAGATTCTAATTTGTGTTTTCAAAACTACAATGTTATAAAAAATCTATGGGTTCTAAGATAAATCGTATCTTAACATTTTAGTTTTATTATGATATATTTCTTTACTCATGTTACATTATTATGTCGTAATAAATCTACCTCCTAATGATTTACTGCTATGTTCTATATTACGTGCGTTGAATTACTTAATGATCATATGTAGGATCACGCTTTCTCTCTCGTATTTTTTTCTTCCCAGAAAAAGTGGCTTGAATTGGAAGAAATTAATCTGAAAAGTCATTTAAAAATACTCAACTTTGTTAGCTAGATAATCAAGATTTGATTGATTTAATCAAATGCACAGGAAAACGAATAATTCAAGCATTTGTCCTTCGTAGAATCTGATGGAAATATCGAATATGGCATTAAAGTCGGAAGACCGCTATATGTAATATTAATAGACAAAATAAAATTTTTAAATTTTAGCAAAATTATGTCCTTATGTACAAGGTTATTTGATTAATTTGCAAAATTAAATGAATTATTCTCTATTAATTTCCCAAAAATCTGATTTCTGTTATTTAGAAAGTTACTAATTTCTTATAAATATAACTAAATACTAAAGTAAATATTAAATAATATTTTTAAATTATATATAAAATTTGTGACAGGTTTGATGACACTTTCTCAACATTTTAGAGAGTTTAAATAAATTATCATAGCAAAAGGCGATTTTTTATTACTCCTGCAAAGGAACCTTTATTTCATTTTTAATTACATTTCGATCTTTCGAATTATACTTTCCGTACTATCATGATACATAACGAACGCTTATTATTGACCTATTTAAATATATTTACGTATTATTTTTTCATATATTCACTTAATGTATACACGAGCTTCATAATACATTTTAATATAATTTGTTAATATAATTTGTTATCCGTTTGATTAGCTTTTGATTAATCGATGAATTAATTTTGATGCGTTTTGTTTTTCGAAACAATACTTTGATATTCTCATAGCAAAACTTGAATGAATTAGAAATGAAGTAACATATACATATATGTTTGAAGGACGAACATTACTTTTGACAAATTGCATTTTAATTATCGAACAATAAAGCAAGACACGTATCCTGTTTACAATAAACAAACAGAAACATATCGAGGACAGACCTATCTACTACCATTACTAAAGTGATTAGTTCTGGTTGCCTTTTCATTCTTTATTGGTATAATTCCGTATACTGTGCTATAAACACCCTCTCCTGATGTTAGAAACAATTATATTTTAATATAAAGAACTTTTTTTCTACTTTTATAAAATCAAAATTAATTGATTAGTGATAACGTCTTCAACATAACACACCCAATTATTTGTAAAATATCAAAACTAATTAAAACAAGACGTTTTGTGTAGATGTAGATGTAGATATTAATTTAATTGCAATAGCAACTATTTTTTTGTATAAATTAAAAATTCTTCCAAAATAGGCTTTTTTAAAAAAAAGAATAGATTCTTACAAATTTGATAATATTAAATAGCTACTCAGAGTGTAAATCCAAGAAAAGATTTTACATTTATAACAATACTTGATTAAAATTTTTCAAACAAATAATTTCTTTACACAACTTTGTAACTCTTTAAATAATTTCGTCGCGTATTAAAAGACTGCACTTGAGTTACGTATTAAAAGACTACAAACAACGATTTTGATTTCCGTAAATAGTATATCATTATTATATTAACATAGTAAATGTCAATACTGTAAAAATTTGATTTTACCTACAGTTTGATGCAAATCGTTTTTGCGATATTTTTTCAGTTTTTTTTTTTAAATAAAATCACCGCATCACTCTCACTTTAGCAATCAATCCCTTACCAACGCAATTATCTCTCGATAATAGACATTGTGTCGTATCTAGATTTAACAAAAACCGAACGAGTTAAATCTGGGCAAAATCATTTTATGTGTATAGTATACAATTATACATAATTCAAGAAATATATACGAAAAATATCTGGCACGCTCGAGATGCTGAATTGCGCCCGAGGCACGAGGTTTAGTTAGAATTTTCGCAAATTTACGATTGTACTTATACCGTACAATTACATTATAACCAATGATACAAGCTATGTACAATATTGCCCAGATCAAACGACGACGAGAAACGATTATCGATCACGTGGCAATTCTCGCACGTGCATTGTACTGTACAAGGTCACGGCAAACCTCACACGCTCCATTACTCGTTTTATGTACAAGATCGTTAATTATCTGATAATTTATTACGCAACTAATTGATAATCGTTAAATTATAAATCTCGATTTATGTAATAATTTATTTCGTAGCCATCGAACGGATCCAGCCATCGATACTCAATTCGAAAGCAGTTTGGCCGTCGTAAACGGATCGTGCCGATCGATCCGACTATATGCCAAGTACACGGCGTCGTTCCTCGATCGACGTTACATTAGGATACTACGAGGCCATTATTGAATTAGTTAAAATACAAATTCTAACAGAGTTCTCGCAACAAAGTCACGAGATGAGCAGTTTCTTTCCGTCACTAGAGAGAGTCCGCGCTGATTCGTTGAGGCACGGTTAACCATGCCGATTTAATTATACAAAAAGCACAAGTGTAAGAGTGTCCCTTTGGCGAACCGCTCAACCGTACTACCGAGGATGTTGAGAATAATTCGGTACGTTTTTTCGGCCGCATTAACACGATTTTTCATACAAAAGAATGGAGAGAGTGTCTGGTGAAAGATTTTCGTGTTAAAAACGTACGTACGCTAAAGATCGTCCGCCACATCACTGCATCCTTCACAGAGCTTTTGGTCCACTGCACTTCGGTCCGCGCACTATGATTCTCTTGTCGTCGCTTCCGAGCACTCGACGAACGGATACACGCAGCTTGTGACAGCGAGGCGTGAGCTAAAGCGATCTATCGCGGTCGGCCGGGCGATTTTTTCGAGCGTGCATCGCGCTTCGCGACCGTCGATCGCCGCGCGTTTTCACTTTGGACATTGTCTCTTTCGACCATTGACACGTTTGACTTCCCTTCTCTTTTTTCTCTTTTTGGTAATTGCGCGATTCACAACGCGGCTGCTCACCTTAACAGGTTCGCGATTATAAGAGTGATGCTGGCGAGTAAAATTGTCGGAGCCACGCCGCAGCTGCCGCCGTGCTGCATCGCCGCCGGATGTTCACCTGCAACAGAAGTGCGCAAATTGGCTTTAGTTCCTCCGTACTCGATTCCGTTTTACACATTGATGATCTTGCTCGATAATTCGCGTTAATCTTCATCCATATATCTGATACTATTTGTGTCTATATATTAAATATATATGTAAAATTATATTAATATATGTATAATATATTTAAATATTGAGCACGATTATCAAATATCTTTGATAAAGAACAATTCAAAAATAATTTAAATTATTATATATGTATTATTAGATTCTCAAAATAACGTATTTTTCGTTGTTTAAGCTAAACGTTAAAATAATTCTTCTCTAATTAAATCTTTTTAAATTTTCAAACATTTACAGATGATATATTATTGCACTGCCATGTATAGAAGCGTAAATACCGAAATTTTCTAAAATATTAATTACTTATTAAATATTTCAAAAATAAAATAAACTATTATATAAGAATTATACCTTTCAATCATATTAAGTGCATATCATTGATCTTTACATATATATAAATGCCAAAATAAAGAGAAACAATTACTTTGGAAAGGTAATAGAATCAAACATTAATTTCTAATATATAATATTTTCATCTTCTTACGATTAGTTATATTAATTAAATCATTATACAATTTGATAATTTTTAGGAGCAATAAATATATAGAAAATTGTACGCGGAAGCTAAAGCAAATTCTATCATTCTATATAGTTAATTCTATAAACCACGTCACAGTCTCTTCGCGTTGAATATTATCTCGAGTAGCTACATAACGCAGGAATTTAATTGTGCAGCCCTAATTAGATTCACAATGTAGGTTAATCGTTCGTATAACGCGTTAAACGCCAAGCATGAACTTTCCAGCCTAACAGACAATCTCTCTCCAGTAACGAGAGCCTATATGTATAGAGGAAATAATCGGGAAAATAAAATATATTGTAGTATATAAACTTGTATTTTTATTCTAAAATTCAACACATTGTTAAACGATTACCAACACACAATAACAAACAATATTTATTGTAATAAAAATTTAGAAGAACTAACAACTAATGCTTTCAATTTATGGAATAAATATTTTTAATATTCATAAATTAAACTTATATAAAATCCTAAAAATTATCAGAAAATCAAGTATTATAACATACAATAATAAAAAAATATAACATTAATCTAAAGTAAAAAAGAGAAATATTTTATAAGATATATATTTTTTCAGTGCATTGATGATAATTCAATCATATTAGTTACGTATACTGTTGAAAAATCTTTCTATAATATAATAACACTGACTCTAATGTATTCTTTATAAACTTCGTTTGCCCGAGCAATTTTTAAATACAAATCGAAATGTACAAATGTACAAATCATTTTTCTATATTTCCCAGCAATATTATCATTTATGTCATCTTTCGCAAAGTCTCACGCGATATACGTTCACAATGGATTTACAAGATCAACGGTGCAATTTTCACATATGTTACTATAAAGTTTCACGTCACGACAGAAAGGAATAACGGTTAATGTACGAAAGGCGCGCTACGAAAGAGTAAAACGCGTGTCGCGATACGAACCGCAAGTTGAAATATCGTTTCGTTCGGCAATAACAGTATAGCTACGCGGCTCGCGCCACGTTCGAACGGCAAACAACAATTTCGCGTTCTATGACGACGGCGCGGTGCGCGGTATCGCCGCGTTGCGTGTAACATTCGGCGGTAATAAAGATAATCACGCGGGTCCGGCGGTATATATATGACATAACGGCGATTCCGCGACGCGGTAGCCGGTCCCTTCGGCGAGCCTCGCAATTTACGAGCAAATTGAAAATCTCATCGGACGGAGTTTACCGTTACGCCGCGTTTACCTGGCCTGTTAACGAAAAATGACACCGGCCCGACACTCAAAATGAGAGAGAGGAGGGGGAGGGGGGGGCGCGCGAGCACAGCCGACGTGCGTAATTGCGTTAATGCGCGGATAGTACGTGCCAAAACGGATGGCTCCCGGGTCGCATACGGGGGTTTATCGAGAAATAATTGAAATTTGCGGTCAATTTTGCAGAGTAATCAGCTGTGTTTGAAATAACGTCGATGGCCAATGCGCCGACCACGCGGCACAACCGGGTGCGCCCTATAAATTAATTATGCAGACGAACTGTGCCGCATTAATTTTCATCCGGCACCGGAAGCGGCCGCCGGCCGCTCTGCGCGAGCGGAGCGCGCGCGTTCCGCCGGGCGTTTCCAGACGGAAAGTGGGCGCGCGATCGATGTCTCGATGGTTCGAAGGGTGGAAAGCGCACCGCGGCGGGCGTGCGGACGGGGGAGGCAGACGGGCGGGGGGAGGGGGCGGACAGCGCCAGGCTGCGTGCTGGAAACCGTGGAAACCGTCGAAGAAAGCTTGTTAAGTTCTGCAATTCGATTGCCGTGTAAACGCGAGGCGTACGCGCCGCGAGCGGTCCGTGTTGCCTAGTTGCCAGAGAGGGTTTTGTTGATTTTTGTAGCTCCCCGTCGTGGGGTGCTATGAATTCGAAAACATTAATTTAATCAGGGATTGAAGAGAGTGAGGCTAGTGGTATTGTAAATTTATTGCGTTGTCGGCCAGCACGCGCATGCAGCAGCATCGGTGTTGAAATGAAGCAAAACGAAAGTTGCGGAATATCGATGCGGGCTTTTTTTTCACTGAATATTAAGTAGATTATACCATACGAATATAAAATGATGATGATGTATAATATTCCGAATATAATAGACTACATAATTGACTGAAACATTGCAATTTTTACATCGTGCGTAATCATAATCATGTCGGTATAATCGTTATATACATGCATATATATTATGAAATACTACTTTTTCAGAATTTTTAAATATTTAATTTTAAATATTCTGGCAGCTAAGATAAAATTTTGTGCGGATAAAGTTTAGTAGAAATTTTTACCGAAGGATAAAACCTTTTTGTGTTTTATATTAAATTTTAAAATTACAAAACGGATAATTTTGTTTAAAAAAAATCAACTCTAAATTATATTTAAAAATCTTATTTAAATAAACTTGGATATTAATTTAAGATTACTTCGCATATTTGTCTCGTTTTTATTGAAAAATCTCAATTTTTATTAAATCTATTTATTATCTCATCTCAATCATTTATAAATCTCAACTATAGAAAAGAAAGCGTGAAAGATGTTGATTTCGAACAACTGCAGCTGCAGCGCTCGAGTTTCGCGAGACGCGTGCCGGGGCTGCACGCTCGCGCGATGATTGACAGCTTGGATTGGTGAACTTGCCGAACAAGATATTACATGTGTTATCGCGAGCGCTGCCGGCTGACAATAGATCAAAAGCGAGAGTATGCGTGCTGCGCGCCGAGTACTTGCCGCGACTCCAATATACGAGGCTGTCAAACTTTATGACGGGGGATTTCGATACTTGATGAATGAACGCATGCCGTCCCTTTCGAATGTCACACTTCAGGAGCCCGCTGGCTTCCTGTCGCTGAACTTGCGTTCGTTGTGAATATGCGAGCGTTTATTGATGTGAAATTTGTCGGTCGCGCGCGAACACAATTCCGCTGGGAAAATTTTGCCGTTCCCGAGAAGCTTTGCCTCTATTGAAGAAATTTCCCTCGAAAGAGACGCGCGATAATGAAAAGGATGATATTATAAATTTCTAAATTCCGCTTCTACAAAAAAAGCCAAGGATATATACCAAACTCAATTTCTACAGAACTGTCTGGCAATATAGGGTAAACTCGGGTATGATGGCCATACGGAAAAGATGGCCCATGGCTGTAATTTCTCCAATAATGGCTAAACAGTGCATTTTTGTAGTCATTCTCAAAGATAATCAATATTTACAGTAGTTTATGTGCGTACATTATTCGAAATAACAATATTGTGAATATTATATCATATTTTTACTTTCGACTGCCTGCAAAGTTTTTCATGTGTCCGCTAAAAGCTGCTATAACATTAAATAAATTATAGTTAAGCTGCCGTAATCAACGTTACACACATAATTAAGCTATGTAAATTGTAATTTGACCTATAATTTGTATTTCTATTTTTCACTATTTATTTAAAAATACTATGGTTATCTTTTCTGCTATAATATGGCCATCTTTTCCTTAAAAGTCAGATAAGATGGCCAATGCATACGTTGTAATACTTTGATAATATAAAATTTATGTTAAGTATTTTCTTCTTAATTTCGATAGTTTTACGTACTTTAAGCTTCAGTGAAGGAATATACCAAACACTGTTAAAATATAACAAAAATAAATGTTTATTGCATTTTAAAAAACTATGGCCATCTTACCCGAGTTTACCCTAATAAAACGCTTGAAATGTAAAAAAAAATTAAAATATTTAGATGTATATAATATTCAACCAAACGTATGAAAAGAATTAAAATGTTAACCAATTCATATTCGTAAATGATCGATACATAACTGTTATTTAATATTCCATTCCATTCAAGAGAGGAATAACAGTGTTGAAAAACACGCTGTGAAAATAAAAATGATATATGAGGTGAATTTGATAAATTCTCCAACTTTTAATTTCTTCATGATAAAGTTTTGTATTTTTATATACATCAGTTTTCAATAATTGTTATTTACGTGAAAGTGAAATCGAAACGTCGATTCAATGAAATACGTAAATAATGTGTAACTGCATTCGATTGAGTAAATTTGTTTAAAATTAGAAAGGAAGAGAGAGAGAGAGAGAGAGAAAGAGAGAGAGAGAGAGAGAGAGAGAGAGAGAGAGAGAGAGATCGGGAATTTTTCTTCCGAAACAAATAACATGCAAATCCGGTTGCGTTCTAATAGAAAACAATGCGGTTAACCGTGAACTCTGATCGAATCGTGTGATGTGGGTGGACATGAAAATGCGGTATTACAAGAATGCCGACATGGAAATGTTTATACGCCGGTGTTCGGAGATTTTTTCGCATGCAACGGCTCTTAAATGTGCATGTGCACGCGACGTTTATCGAAGGGTGTGCACATGACGCAGCAGCCTCGACTCAACTCGTGCGCGTGCTTCCTTCACGTAAAGAAGAAAAAAAAGCAAGTAGACGAAGAAGAGGAAAAATCCGACTATACCGAGTCGATTGTATATCGAATTACGTGGCGCAAGAAACACACCGCGTAATTCATGCGAGCAAATAAAAAAGTTATTAGTTCTATTCTCAATTTTACCCGACAATAACTTCGCAATTCTGCGGCAATAAAGAAGATATTGCCGGCCTGTTCAATAATATTAAGGTAATACGGATAAAATATTGCAGTTTGGTATTCTCGTTATTCGGTTAGTTCATAAGCGAATTACATTGTAACGTGGAACGCGTAAACTGTTGAGTAAACTCGCCTCTGACTTTGTTTATCGAGTGCAAGTCTGGTTTGCATGCGGCATGTCGTGTTTGCTGAATAGAAATTAATTGATCTTTAAAGCAATAAACTTCCAATTTAAACGTCTCGCAGTTTCTCGTGCAAGTTTCGGCGCGATGTAATATCGTTTTGTCGCTCTTATCTCTCCAGTGTAGGCCACGTGAAAATTTGAAACGTAATAGGGCGCGTGAGGTGTCAATTGCCACATATTATTTATATGTTATATAGGTGTTATATAGGTGTCAATTATCACATATTATTTATATGTTATAAATATTAAACCAATATTTTTTGTTTTCTGTTTAATATTATTTAGTGTTGCATATATCGTAAAGTATATTAACAAGTTGAAACTTTAATTTTATAGTATTTTTTTTCAATAATAATCGGTTCTGAACTCATACAAATAGTGTATTTGAATATATATTTATAAAAGGCCAGTCGGGCCGAATTAAATTGTCTCTGCATGTGTTGATAAAATACGTCGAAACATTATTACATTCGTCACATTTGTATAAATAATAAAAATTCGTCACGTAATCATAACGCGTTTGCATTAGTTGAAAATTTCGCAAATTATCGCGTCATGCGGGGCCGGCTTGGTAGATAATGGCTCGTAATATATGGAGGTGTTCCCAGCGCTACCGCTGGGTTATCTGAAAATTTCAACTGCGGATATTCAGACGTTTCTATCGCGATATGTCATTAAGGCAGCTCCCCGAATATCCGAATATCCGGGATGTCGGGGATGACGTCGCGAGAGGCGAGAGGGATGATCGGCTGCCGGATAAGTCCGCGTCGTAAAAGAAAGAAAGAAAGAAAAAAAGAAATTCGCTTACCATTCAGCACGTGGACCATTACGCTCGCTGGATTCGCGTTGCTGGGGATGCAGGTATAATTTCCGCTGTCGGTCAATCTGGCCTGTGTCACCAGTAGTCTGCTTGTCGTCCCGGTATCCGTTTTCTCCGTCTCCAGGGAAACCCCGCCCCTGCGGTGTACACTGAATTATCGCAGATACTTTGGCGCCATTCTCGTCACACACATTGCTACTTTGTCATTAATTCTCTCTGCAGGCAGGTGCGCGGCTTACAGAAAACATCGGCAAAAAGCGCGATCGTGTATGATGCATAAACGATAACGCGGACTCTTGTTCACGTAACGCATATTGTCAAACATTTGCTGGCAATTGTGCACGAATAAATGGAAACAAAAAGTTTATTCGTATCAGATGTTTTCCTATATAAAACTGATATACGACGTACGAGTTTGACAAGTAACATTATATCATTTTTTCGGCATTGTGACACATTTCGCTCTGCAGAGAGAAAAAGAAGAATCTAAACTACTTGAACATCTTTTCGCGTAAAGCGTTCTCTGAACTAATCCCGGACAAAATTGCTGGATCAAGGGTCGTTTGCTTTTTCGACTCTTGATGATCCTTCCCGGAGTTGACGGGGCTGACGAAAAGATTAAAGGCGGGGTACTTCATGTCTTCCGCTCGATCGGCGATACCGCAAAGTAACGCCCCTAAAAAAACTTGGCCGAAGCCTCCCTCCTCGTTTGCCGAGACGGAGGCGACTTGTGAAACATTGCTAGGATCTCCCGTCTCGGTTATGCGATCCACAATCGAATGGAAACGTGTGTACGTATTAGCGCGTGTATATGAGAGAAAGAAAGAAAGGGAGAGAGAGCGATTCTTACGATTTGTACCTGGGACTGTCGAAATCCACTACGGCCCCTCCGTGATGCCAGGAAACGCTACTGGGCGGTGTACTTCGCACATTCACTTCGCACGTGAGACTTATCGTGCTACCTTTCTTCACGTAGACGTCTTCCGGTCCCAGGATCGTCGCCTGAGCAGCTGTAACACACGTTAGAAACCGTACGTTTAAATATTCCGCATCCGTATATCCATCTGTGCTAGATAACGGGCTTTGATCGATCCAAAAACATCAAATCGTGCCCTTTATTGATATCAATCATTTGTTTGCATCTAAAATTTTACAAAAAACCGAGATATCTTTCTGCTTGTTTCACTCTGCACTCGTGTGAAATTTCAAGCAATTAAATATCTAACGATCTCTTAGCTTAATATGCTTAAGGTTATTATCATTATAACATGGTCGCTGTATTTTTTTTATTAATAGAATTATTAAGTATTTTTTTTATTAATAGAATATTTTTTTTATTAATAGAATTATTAAAATTCTCTTTCTGTTCCTTGCATATTTATATTTCTACATGAAAGATATTGTTAATTTTTATGTGTGTGTTTGTGGTGAAATATTATATATCTCTGAAAATTATATTATGAAGGAAGGAATTTATGCATTATATTTGTCATTTGTAATAAGCACGTGTTTGTAATATAGCTTAATTAATTAATATGTTTTAGTGTCATCGTATACATATCATAACGAAAAGAAAATTATTTGATTTGACATTCGACTACAGCATATTACTTCACACAGTTAGATGAAATTTTCCGCTAGTTATTAGTTAGTTATTAGTTATTAGTTAATATTATTTGTTTAACATTATCGATTCCGTCCAAAGTTTAAAATTTATGCACATTACGGGTTAAAAAATGTTGCCAATTAAATAAACCAATATTTAAGCAATTTTCTCATATTGAACTTCTTGTTTAGAAACTTTTAATTACAATCGATGATTTTGAACTTAATTATTTTAATAATTAGTTTATTATTTCAATCTTACGGTATAATTTATAAACGAAAATAAGAGTTCTGTCTGTGACTTTTATGCAATAATAAATTAAAAAGAGATAGATTAATTTACAAGTAATTATATATAGATGTGTTTGAAATTAACAAGATATTAATCTATATATATATATAGGACATATAAAAAGAGAAGAAAAAAGTGCATAAAAATAGTAAAATATATTAGAATTCGTCATTATCAACAAGATTTCCGCATGACAAGAAAAAACTTATTTTAATTACATTAACAGTTCATTACATTGGGTACTTACTTATTCTTCAAATCATTGCTGCAGTTATTTTAAAAAAGTTATATAGAATACACATAAAAACATGCAAACAGAACCATGCAAAATCACAAAAGGCCAACCTGAAGATAATCAAACGGTTTCCAAATTTTAGGGGACGTAGAGCTTTGTACAAAACTCGATAAACTATCGCTAACAGTCAAAATCTACAATCTAAATAAGTCGAGGCCGAGTACGAATATTGCGCGGAAGATATTTTCATTACGCTCGCATTGGGTTCCCTCTATTTCAAAACAAGGTTCTTGCGCGCGGTTCCACCGAATACATTTAACGCGTGGTATATTTACGACTCGCAATATTAGGGCGGAAAATTAGCACGCGTTAGCGTCAGCTGTATCTGCGTAAAAAAAAAGAGGAGAATATTTGCCCGACAGTCCCGAGCGTAACGGCGTCTAAATGAAGAATGCTGTCCGTGTTTTCACCTTCCTCATGCTACGACCTCCAATTCATTGGCGAGCGAAACCCATCCGGGCGGCTTGGCCATAAATATACAAAAAAAAAAAAACGTTCATGCACATCATTACGGCATGTAACTAAATTGTAAATAATACTTCTAGCAGCTAATAGCAAATTCAATAGCTTGGAAAAGGAGTCTGCTCTTTGCGTGAATCTAACCTGAGTTGAACGTCCGGTGAATGGCGTTTGGTGTGGTGATGGCAGGGACAGGGGCACTTTCTGGAATGGGAGGACAGAAAAGATATCGAGTTAATCGATTTCGTCAAGATCTATTGTTTCGGGGGGGTTGGGAATTGAACTAATGTTGAAAGCACTATCAGTATATGTAGGCCACGCCTGCGAAACACGGAGTATAAAGAATATTATTCCTCTGTTTCCTTTTTATCGTCCGTTTTTATGTATGTTAGTCGAGATTTATGGAGATTCCCTAGTCCGACATTTTTAAAATGTTTGACCTAATATAATTGAGTTTAAAGCGTTGAAACCGATTTCAATAAATTTCTATTTAAAATCTCTCAGATTCAAATTATTAAAATCAGATTAATTGATGAGCAATTAAAATATTATCATCTTTTTAAACATCTTTTGAATGCTTATATATATATCGAGTAAATATTAATATTTATACAATAAATCTTGTAATTTATCCTGTATTTTATCTTTTTCCCGGATAACGCGCCGAAATGAACCCTTTTGTTAGAGAAAATTTAATTGACGAGATATTTATTAATATCTGTATTAAGCGCTCGTATAAACATACATACATATATATATAGGTGCTTTACGTATTGAAAGACGAAATCGATACTGTGCGCTGGTAATTAAAATAACTGCAATGTTATGCGATTACTCGGTCAGAGAAATAGATGCAACAAAGCTGATCGGTACTTTAGGATATTTCTCACGTGACAGACATGCAAGCGGAAGCGTTAATGACTTTGGTCATGCTGGTGCGTATTCGAGTTATCCAGCAGTGTCATTCCTGATCAATCAGGTGATAGACACTTACGAAAAGCGTTCAGATATTCTTTCACCTATCGTAAATTACGCAATATTATATTTACAACGGCTTAGAGTTATTACGGGATCTAATTTAACCCTTTCACAGCTTTTTGCTTATGTTTTAACTTAAATAATTAAAAGCTAACTCGGAAATTATAATAATTTAATACATTGCAATAAATTGTAATGAAATATCTATTTCGATTTATAAAGTATATATAATGTAATATATTACATGCATGTGTATTGACAATAAGTAACGTTGCAACAAAAATTTAAAAATCTATTTTTATTGTATTAATATTATTTCCGTTCTCTTTTCTTTCTCTTTGTTTGTGATAAAACTTGTTCGAAAAGTGTGTATTTGATTTCGAATTGAGCGATCCATGAAAGGGTTATCTGGCAAATTTCTAGAAACTTTACGATCTTGATTTTACCTTCGACTTTCAACATGAAGGCTAAGTTCATTTTGGGCTCGGTGTTAACCTGGCATTCATAAACCCCGGCGTCCCGTGGTTGAACGTACTCGATCCTCAGCGTCCATTCGTCGGATGATTCAGGGTGCTTAACGGAAAATCTTGCGTCCCCCGTGTAAGCGAGGGTCGATGACGTCAGGATATGCAAATCCCTCTTACGTATCCAGGAGATCTACAAGCAAAGTGAATGCTCGATTAGACTTCATCCGTCCGAGCTCCGACCATTGATTTGCCGATCTGAATAATTGATACGATTATCACCGGCTGCACACCCATTTTCTTAGGAAAATATTGTCGTACCACAGTTGCAATAAATTGTACTTAATATCGAAGAGAGGCTTTAAATAAGTTATTGTGTCCTTCAAGAGAATTTTTTAGCTTTTTATATTTCAAAATTCTATACGATTTTCCTCTTTTTAGATTTAAATAATCCAGTTTTAATCGAAGATATTGTTCTATTATAAGTATCAAATATTTTCGGGAGGTATGTTTTGGAAACGAAACAGAGTGACAGCTAGGAGAAGAGCGATCGCGGATCCAGTCGACCTCAATTCATCAGATGACGGCAATTAGTCAGTAGCACGATTAATCGACTCTCAGTTAATCGGTACCCAACTATCCATTTATTTGATCAATTATGTCGTCCGTCATTAACCCGCGATACCACTGTCCGATTCGCTTTAAAAAGCCGACGTTCATTTCCGGCTAGTTTAGCTGTCAATCCGTAGGAAATATTACAAATTTAACAATAACTTCCCGTGGCCGCATAGGCGTGTAATGCGTCGACGATCAGTACGGCCCGCCCATTGTTATATAACGCGCGCGCTTCCCGCACAAACACGCATAATGTGTAACGTTTCGTCCACGCAAACGTTAAATATTGTCACTCCGTGTTGCATATAAATATTCCGTTCTATCGATTTCATCGTCAATTGTTGATCGATCAAGCCACGCGTTGCCTGTGATAATAACTGAATTACCACACCGTTACATCAAAATTGCAGTGTAATCTGAAATTTGTCGCAGCCTGGTGCATACATGCCCGGCGTGTACGGCATTACAAATGAGGTATTACATTTTCGTGGTTTACAACATCGCCTATTAAGCGCGATAATAAACGGTTTCCGCGGTTTAACCTTTCGGATTTTGTGGATTATTACGTCATAACGTGGCAATATCAAAATATATGAATGGTATATATTTCAGACATTTTGCTGGGAATTAAATTGCTCTATTAGCAGTACTCTAATTTTATAATAAAATCTTATACCTTCTATTTTCTTTCATTTAGAAATAAAATATGATTTTTTTCAGAATTCAATAACTATTCTACTCATTTCGCCTGCATCAGATAAAAATGTATTATCACGTAAATTGCCGATTTCAATCTTTATTTTGTTCAATCGTAAATTATACGATGCCGCCCTCTTAAAGACACGCACATATATGAGTCCAATATAAAATAAGGGCTCCCTCAACTCGAGGGAAATTGTGTCAGACGATCGCGCGGCGAGTCATTCTATCGAATTGCTCGAATCCCTTCGAAGCATGCTTCGGGCTGACGCAACATCGATATTGTTTAATCGATAATAATGGCACACGTATGTATAATGGCCGAATTGGAAAAACGCATTAGGTTTCCCCGGACCCACGAGGGTAGTATTTGAGACGGCCGTTAAAGGTTGTCTCCCCGAGCCACCCCAACAATTATAGAAGTACGTGCCTCCGACCAGCACATCCACAAGGCATCCTTGACGTTCCTCCCGATCCTCGCTATCGGACTTCCAACTCTAGCAATGGCGGATCGTTAAACGTATGTTCTTTCCGGATAGACGACGCTCTCACCCCTTTCATTAATTATTCCCCATCGCGTCCTTCTGGAAGTCACCTCGGTTTTAGAATGACATGATCCTTCCGCGCGGGAAAACCAGAAATTGGATAGACGAAGTTCTGAATATTATGCGGTTGATAAGGGTCGATCTTCTGATCCAACGCGCTATATATGACAACTGAGAACTTATCCCATTTTCTATTATCGTTTTCGAGCTCTTAAATTTCTCACTTGGGAAAAGGAGAAAAGATATTTCACAATTTTACACCCATCGCGCGTAACAATTTTTTACAAAACATTCTGATATGCATATATGAAGTACAAAAATATCACATGTGTTATTTTTTGCTGTATAATATGTGTATATAACACATTTCAATAATATCACACACACATTTTAGTTGGAATAAAAGTTATAAATACATTTATGTAATATGTTCCGAAAGAGTCCTCAGGTAACATTTTATTTCATTAATTACTTCTTTTTATAATCGCAGTAGATTTTATTTTAATTTATATAAAATTATAATAAGAAGCAACATACAATACAATACATATATACAATACATACAACAATACAATACAATACATTACAATATTGATAATAAGTCCCTTAAAAAACATTCGAAGTTATAAAATGCATTTTGTGTCAATTTTCAATCAATATATGAACAATATTAAATTCTAATATTTCCAAGTTTAAAAATGTTGCTGCGAAAATTATCTGAAATCGACAGTAAGCCCAAGAGATTGTAATTTTTAAGAGCCAGAGAAAACAAGGAATAGGGGGCTTTTAAGCATGAATTAGAAATACGCTCGCGTATCTCTACACGTCTCTTTTATCGTTCATACCTCTTTCTCTCTTTCTCCTCTCCCTCCTTCTGTGGTTATCGTTTAACGCCTTTTATATCTAGACGGAGTGCACCTCCGTCGGGGAAAATTAAATATCCTCCAGCTCCTACGTTTGGCCCCTCGGGGTCAGAATCCTTCGTAACTTAGCCACGAAAATCTTATAGTTCCGAACTCTCGACTCGCAACCAAGATTACGAGAGCAGGAATATTACGTGCTCGACATGTTATCGTGTCATTTTATTGCGGCGGTAATGTGATAAATAAATGGGTTACATTTAGCGCTTTGAATTACTCACGACTGCACTGCTAACGATGCTTACTCGTAATTAAATATGAGATATTCGTCCCTTCTAGTGATAATAAGTAACTGGCCGCAGCGTGTAAATATAAGAAACACGTTTACATCGCGAATTGTTGAAACTCTATTATTTTTTTCCTCTACTCTTTCTTTCTCGTTATTAGAAGGACAACAGGAAGGAAGTATTTTATTCGAGAATAAAAATTTGCACTTGACGTAAGACGATAATATTCTTACAGTTTTTATTTTAATAAAAAGATATATGTATCGGATATATTAATATTAATATTAGTTAATATATTTAAACAATTTGATTTAAATTTGGAAACAATTTTGTTTTAGACTCAAGTTTACATTACATATCATTTTACAATTGATTATCCATATGTATCTTTCAAATATAACTTGAAAACAGGAATCCCCTACAATTACGTAGCTTTTAAGCGTCTTATCGTTGAAGTCAAACTACCCAAAATTGAGCTAAAATTTTCACGACACATCGCTAAGAACAATCGACGCAATCTGCAGCGAGATAACCAAATTCGTCCCGCAATTTCCAAGCGCAAGAACACCTCGCTCTTCCTACCGTAGTCAAGAGAAATTACGCGGCAAGAAAGGACGGCGCTCGGCAATGTTGCGCCAGCTTAGAAATCAGCGCGTACGAATAGCGAAAGGAACGAGCATCTCTCTCTCCTTCTCCCTCATCTCCCTCTCCCTCTCTCTCTCTCTCTCTCTCTCTCTCTCGCGTGCTCCTCCTCTAGACTTTTTGCTTGTTTCCCTTACATCCTACAGGAATATCCGGCGAGAGAAAAAGGGAGAGTGCAAGCTTACGACGAGCTAGGCGGTACATAAAACATCTCCAAGCGCAATTTGCCAGGCGGTAAGCAGCGTAAGCGAGCTTTCAGTGGCTTTGACCTTTCGTCGCTGTCACGAAGATCCGCCATTTTCTGCTTAGGTCAACCCGAAAGCGGTCTGGAAAGCGCGTCTCTTTGTACACGGCAATATGACCGCGCGCGCCGCCCGCGCCGCCCGCGCCGCCGCCGTTCAGCGATCCTGATTTCCCTTTAATTCGCGACCGGGTAGAAAGAGGCGGCGGATTGTACGCGCATGTAACTACTGAAAGCGGATGCAATTTAGCGCGAGGTGGAACGTATTCAAAGCGTAGCGAGTAGCCGTCAATCTTACTTTCTTTTTAAGGTATTCCTTTGCTGCTATCCTCGTTTTATGTAACGTTCTCGGATTGATGTGCACGGCATTTATTTGTCGATAATGAAATAAATAACTGGAGCTCGCTGAAGACGATATTCAAGATGTGGAACATAATAACTTGTTTCTCGAATTCTATTTTATTATTATGTAAAAATGTTTCCATATCTACTGTTATGTACTTTTTTGTTTTCTTTTTCCTTACAATTAGTATATAAATGATGATGTTCTTTCCTGCCCTGAAAAATCAGAAACTACGAGATTATTACGAATATTTCTCATGTCAGACATTCACTGTAAAATCTGACGATCGGAAAGATTTTCAGCGCAGACAGGCGATGATTCGTCACAGATGCGAATGTATCGCGCGTGTACGACACATGGAGATAAATTCTATTTACGGGGAGTCTCAATATACAAGTAGTCGCACTTTTGCACAAGTTGGTCGACGTGCTGTGTTACGGCTCGACTCTTCGCTTTCTTTTTCCTGTTTTCACGAGTTTTCGTGGGATCTCGGGAGGCAGTCAGGCATGTCGATCAATTTGGCACAGACAGTTTGTATCCGGTCGGTTTTGTCTCGGGCGCGAACTAACAGACGCACGACAATATCGACTGACACAAGTGAAATAAAAGAGGGGAAAGCGAGAGAAAAAAAAGGGAAGGACTCTGACATAATCCATTTACGTCAATTTTTAATGGCGACACTGACACTTTCGTTATACTTTTATATCCATGTCGGGAAAAATATTCAGAGGTCTCGCAATTTAAATTTAATGACGTAAAATGTTAGACACATATACTCATTCTAATATATAGTTAGTTCTTCGTAATATAAAACTTTTATCTAGTATTATTCTAAACAAACTATTAAATAAAAACATATAAAGTAGATTAAACTGTTCAAGAAAATGTATATTTATGAAATTGCGAAATGTCGACGAATCCATTACGTTAATAATAATAATACCGTGCAAATTTTGTAATA